CTCCTCCTCCTCCTCCTCCTCTTCTTCTTGTTGTCACAGTTCTCTCAGAGCTGTTCTCTCAAGGGCAATTCTTTCAGAGTTCTCTCAGCCCCACCTGCCTCCCAGGGTGTCTGTTGTGGGGAGGGGAAGGGAAAGGAGACTGTAAGCCGCTCTGAGACTCCTTCGGGTAGTGAAGGGCGGGGTATAAATCCAATCTCTTCTTCTTCTCCCTTCTGTCAACGGCTATTGGCTGGGATAGCTAAAAGGAGCTTCCCTCTCCAGGAATACTGTACCTTTGCACACTGAAGAAGGGTTTGGGGAGGGGCTGCTGACTTCAGTCTCTGTTTGTGAGCTCCCCTAAGGCCTCTCTCGCTGTTGGAAACAGAAAAACCACTCTGACCAAAGAGAGAAGCGGTGAGAGAGGAAGTGTGTTGTGAACACCACAGGAACTGACACCTCTCTGGTTGTCTCTCTTGGGGGGAAAGAGAAGAAAACGGGCCTGTCAGCTTTTGATTTGTGGGCTGGGGAGAAGAGGCTGGAGTGGAGGCCGGTGGGCTCCAGGAGAGGGTTGCCAATCCCCAGTTGGGGGCAGGGGATGCAGCTTTGAGACTGACAGGAGTACTCCGTCCACGAATGTTAGCTGCACAATGTGTATTTTGTGGGACCGGCAAAAAGCATCCGTAGAACTATTAAAAAAGCTGCCCCCCTTTTTGGAAGACTTCATGCAAGGAGAAGCGGGTTCATAATACTAGGAACTCCCGTTGGGGCTTGACTTTTAAAACACTGATGCAAACTTGTCTAGTTAGCAATCTGTATGTACTGAATGATGGTGGGTGTTGCCTTCTGACACACTTCCAGTGATGTCAGGGGTGTGTGGCATATGCAAATGGGTTATGCCAATGAGCTCCTGCACCTCTTTTTCTACAAAATGACCCCTGACTAGGATGAAATAATGACACACTGTGCATTTTACCGAATGATGACCATAAATAGAACACATTAGTTGAAAAGGTTTTTGCAGTGTATATTTATTTGTTACTAGAATTCCCAGTTGGGGGCAGGGGGTCGCCCGGTGTGGAGCCCCTCCCCCTACTTCAGGGATATCAGAAAGTGGCGGGGGGAAATATCTGCTGGGTGCTCCATTATACCCTACGGAGACCAGTCCCCATAGGGTATAATGGAGAATCGATCTGTAGGTATCTGAGCCTCAAGGGTGGGGGCTGATTTTTGAGTTAGAGGCACCAAATTTTCGGCACAGCTGCTGATGCCTTTCCTCAACCCCCTTCCCCGAGTGTCAAAAATATTGGACCGGGGTGTGTGTCTGATTCTATGAGCCCCCAAAGAAGGCGCCCACATTACTTCCAACGGAGGGAAGGGATTTAAAAGGAACGCAATCCCTTTAAAGCGATGGCAGCTCACCTGGAACTTTCTTTGGAGTTCGCTCTCCCGGAGGCTCCTGAAACGTCCCCCTGCCCGCTTATCGGCCTCACCTGGCAACCCTACGGGCAACCACATTGGGGAGCCCTGGAATAACTCAACCCAAATTGGGTAGATCCTGGTTATATGTATGGGTATCCTTGGAGAATCGATCTGTAGGTATCTGAGCCTTGGGGGGGGTGATTTTTGAGTTAGAGGCACCAAATTTTTGGCACAGCTGCTGGTGCCTTTCCTCAACCCCCTTCCCCAAGTTTCAAAAATATTGGACCAGGGGTGTGTGTCTGATTCTATGAGCCCCCAAAGAAGGTGCCACATCCTCCATTACTTCCAACGGAGGGAAGGGATTTAAAAGGAACGCAATCCCTTTAAAGCGATGGCAGCTCACCTGGAACTTTCTTTGGAGTTCGCTCTCCCGGAGGCTCCTGAAACGTCCCCCTGCCCGCTTATCGGCCTCACCTGGCAACCCTACGGGCAACCACATTGGGGAGCCCTGGAATAACTCAACCCAAATTGGGTAGATCCTGGTTATATGTATGGGTATCCTTGTGGTGGCTCAAGTGGTTAAAATGCTGAACTGCAGGCTGGAAGGTCGGTAGTTCGGCAGTTTGAGACCCAAGTGCCGCATGACGGAGCGAGCTCCCGTCTCTGGTTCCAGCTCCTGCCAACCTAGCAGTTCGAAAGCAAGAAATTGCAAGTAGATTAATAGGTACCGCTTCGGTGGGAAGGGAACAGCGTTCCGAGCACCTCGGCATCTAGTCATGCCGGCCACATGACCACGGAGAAGTCTTCGGACAGCGCTGGCTCTTCGGCTTGGAAACGGAGATGAGCACCGCATCCCTAGAATCTTCAGAGCAAGGGAAACCTTTACCTATCCTTGTTGTATAACCAGTGGACAATTTTTATCAAATCCGTCCAGAACTTTTGTTGAGACCACAAGGCAAACCAAGTTACGCTACTTGCCGGAGGGCAAGGGACCAGCCACAGAAGAAGCATAAAAGGCATTCTGTGGATTATTTAATTTATTTATGCAGCAACTTTTAAAATCCCCTCTTCCTAGGTTTGCCAACCGCCAGGTGGAGCCTGGAGACTGATTTGATTGATTCAGTTTATAAACCGCCCTCCACGGAGGGCTAAGGGGGGGTATAGAACGGCGTATCAGTCAATAAAACAGTTTAAACGAATTCAATAAAACAATTAAAACAATTCAGTGCAACGCTATGTTCGTTTGAAGGTGTCTGAGGTTGGTTTGGGGTCGTGGTTAAGTGCACGGACTCTAATCCAGGAGAACCGGGTGTGATTCCCCATGCCTCCACTTACACCTGCTGGGTGACCTTGGGTCAGTCACAAGTTCTCTCGGAGCTGTTCTCTCAAGGGCAGTCCTTGAAAGAGCTCTCTCAGCCCCACCGACTTCACAGGGTTTTCTGTTGTGGGGAGGGGAAGGGAAAGGAGATTCTAAGCCGCTCTGAGACTCCAAGTGAAGGGCGGGGTAGACATCCCATCTCTTCTTTTTCTTCTTCTTCTTCTTGTACCCTCCCCATGGGGGGAGGGAAGGGTGAGAGATGGAGGCTTGATGGTGAATCCCCAATCTCCTGGGATTACAACTGACTACAGAGATCAGTTCCCCTGGAGAAAATGGCTGCTTTGGAGGGTGGGCTCTGTGGCATTGTACCCTGCGAAGGCCCCTCCCCTCCCCAAACCCCGCCCTCTCCCAGCTCCACCCCCAAAGTCTCCAGGTATTTCCCAGCTTGGAGTTGGAAGAAAAACAGGGCTACACCAAGCAACATGCCTGCAAACCAAGAATGGGGGGGGGGGAGAAGCTGTGGCACAGCTTTATTGTTATACGAATCCTCTGCAAGTGTCGCTGTGAAATCTTCGTCCAGCGGGATCAGAGAATTCACTTTATGCTGAACCTTCCCACAGCCATTAAGTTCTAGTCCTTTTTATTAAGTTCTAATTAAGGTGACTGGGACTCAATAAGAGTACTATTAAATTCTGGTGAAGGCAGTAGAACTTAATGGCTGTGGAAAGGTAGAGGACAAAGGGAACTCTCGGATCCCTCTGACGAAACTCTTGCGGCGAAAGGCATAAGGGTTTTGTCCAATGATAAAGCTGTTTCCTAGCATCTCTTTTCCTTCCGACTTGGAGTTGGACACTGTGGCGTCCTCTTTTTAGGGAGGACTAGTTTTTCCTTTAAATGTGGTCTTTACTTCTGTATACTGGGTAGATTCGGCTGCCACCAGGAATTTAAGGATTTCCAAACCTTCTCTCTGTTTCTCTTACTGGTAAGGTAACCCAGGGTCTAGGCTTTTCAGGGATCTATGTGGTCCTGAGGAATGATTGAATTCAATTCTGGGATAACTTAAACAAAAGATAATTTATTGAACTCAGAACAAATTATGAGGTTAGTTATTCTGTAACTGTTTAGGATGAAGGGACTTGTAAATATGCCATTCACATGTATCACACACAGAGCCTTTTTTTTCTTTTACTTTTGTTTGTTTGACACTCAGTTCCAACATTAACAGAGATCACTCTTTCCCATAGTTAGCCACACAGGCTAAGGATATATACAGCACTCTTTGAGATCTCACACAGAACTCTGAACACTCACTGACTGAACAATTCCAACTCCATATTTTCAACTGCTTTTTTCCAACTAACTTTCATAACGGACTTTTCATAACTGACTAACTGACACTCACACAGATTCACTTTAAAAACTCCTCCCACACTCTCTCATCCTCCAATCACAGCACACTTGTCTCTCTCAATCACTCTACTCTGCATTCACTGCACTGCAACCAAACATTTAAAGAGACACACACACTCTTAAAACAAGGAATCGTTACAGACACCATAATTTTTATGGCTTAAATATTTCTAAACTACAATAATCAATGCTTTTCTCCAGGACCATGACGACTACAAACAGACCTTTGACTCAGATGACATTTCCTACTACTTCGGGAACGGCAGCTCCTCCGGTTACTTCAACTACAATGAGACAGACTACAACGAAAGCGAAGTGTGCTGCCCGGTCCCGCCCTGTGATTTCTATACCATCCAAGCCTTCGAGAGGAACTTCCTACCGTGTTTCTACATCCTGATTCTACTCCTGGGGCTGTGCGGGAACGTCATGGTGATTGTCGTCTTGCTGCGAGCCAAGGAGGCCCTACCTGGAACGGACGTCTTCATCTTCAACCTGGCCATCGCCGACATCCTGCTGGTGGCCACGCTCCCTTTCTGGGCGGCCCAAGCCATACACACCTGGGTCTTCGGCGACTACCTGTGCAAAGTGGTCGGCAGCATCTTCAAGATCAACTTCTATTCCAGCATCTTCTTCCTGGTCTGCATCAGCTTCGATCGGTACCTCTCCATCGTCTACGTCATCCGCACGTACAACCGGTCCAACTCCTGTGGGATCCTCCTCTGCTCCTTGGCCATTTGGTGCTTCTGCATCCTCCTCGCGGTGCCCGATTTGATCTTCCTGAAAGTCGAGTTCGATTCCCGCCAGAACACCACCTCGTGCTCCCTCAACTTTGGCTCCAGCTGGAGGATCACGCTACGCATCTTGAACCAGGTGTTGGCGTTCTTCCTCCCGCTGCTGGCCATGGCTTACTGCTACACCCACATCATCTTCACGCTGCTGAAATCCAAAGGCTTCCAGAAGCAGAAGGCCCTCAGGGTCATCCTGGCAGTGGTGGCCGTCTTCTTCCTCTGCTGGACCCCCTACCAAGTGGTGATGCTCATCGACACCCTGATCGAGTACAAAGTCTTGGAGCGAAGTTGCGAGTGGGAGTCCAAGGTGGACATTGCGGAGACCGTCACGATGAGCTTGGGGTTCCTCCACTGTTGCCTCAACCCTCTCCTCTATGCCTTTATTGGGATCAAGTTCCGGAACAGATTCCTTGAACTGTTGGAGCAGGTCGGCTGCGTGAGCCACGCATTCCTGAAGAGACACGCCCGCCTGTTGAGCCACCGGAAAGACTCGACATGGTCCGAGAGCACGGAGGCATCTTATGCGGGACTCTGAGAGGCCTGCCTGCCTCGTGAGAGACTCTATTGTGTTACAAGAGCCAGTTTGGTGTAGTGGTTAGGAGCGGCGGAGTCTAATTTGGAGAACAGGGTTTCATTCCCCACTCCTTCACATGCAGCTGGCTGGGGGACCTTGGGTCAGCCACAGTTCTCTCAGAGCAGTTCTATCAAGGGCAGTTCTCTCAGGGCTCTCTCAGCCCCACCTACCTCACAGGGTGTCTGCTTTGAAGAGAGGAAGGAGAGGCGATTGTAAGCCGCTCTGAGACTCCGAGTGAAGGGTGGGGTACAAATCCAATCTCCTCTTCCCCCTCCTCCTCCTCCTTCTTCCTCGTCTTCTTCTGCCACAGTCCTTTCAAAGCTGTTCTCTCAATAGCAGTTCTCTCAGGGCTCTCTCAGGACTCTCTCAGCCCCGCCTACCTCACAAGGTGTCTGCTTTGAGGAGAGGAAGGAGAGGCGATTGTAAGCCGCTCTGAGACTCCGAGTGAAGGGTGGGGTACAAATCCAATCTCCTCTTCCCCCTCCTCCTCCTCCTTCTTCCTCGTCTTCTTCTGCCACAGTTCTCTCAAAGCTGTTCTCTCAATAGCAGTTCTCTCAGGGCTCTTTCAGGACTTTCTCAGCCCCGCCTACCTCACAGGGAGTCTGTTGTGGGGAGAGGAAAGGAAAGGAGATTGTAAGCCGCTCTGAGACTCTGAGTGAAGGGCAGGGTACAAATCCAATCTCCTCCTCCCCCTCTTCCCCTTCGTCCTCCTCCTCCTCCTTCCTCTTCTTCTTCTTCATCTCCTTCTGCCACAGTTCTTTGAAAGCTCTTCTCTCAATAGCAGTTCTCTCAGGGCTCTCTCAGCCCCGCCTACCTCACAGGGAGTCTGTTGTGGGGAGAGGAAAGGAAAGGAGATTGTAAGCCGCTCTGAGACTCTGAGTGAAGGGCAGGGTACAAATCCAATCTCCTCCTCCTCCTCCTCCTTCAGAGTTCCACTGTGGTTCTGAAAGCAGCTGACGAATTTATTTTGTCCCACTCCAGTCTAACATTTTTGCAAACACACACACACACACACACACCCCTCATTTGAGCTCAGCACACCTCTCCTCTTAGCCATTTTCTATGCCAAACTGCACCGGGGGGGGGGTGTATCCCCATTTTTGCCGCTGCATGTGGAATCCAGACCCAATTCTTTTCTTTTTCTTTTTTTAAAGTGAATTTCTAGTTTGGCGCTCACTTCTCTCCAAGCCCAAGGTTTGCAGCTTTGGCTACAGAAGACAGGATATCCGCCGAGCTCCATCTCACTACCTTAGGAGAGCATCTGCCTTTCCGCGTGCTTCCCCGCGATCCTAACACCAAAACGTGTGCATGATTTCTTTGTGAGGGGCTTCCAAAGCCGAAAGCCTGAACATTCAGGCTGCATGTTGGTACTGAGAGCTTGGCTGCCTAACTGAACCCGAGCAAGGGCATGTTTGGAAAATGATATACCGAGGACCGGGAAACCAAGAAAGTGGACGAGCAGAAGACAGTGGGTGATTCTGCATTGGCTTTTTGCTCCATTGTTCTACGAAACCCACGTTGGAACAGGAATTCCCCCCTGTATTGCGTGCTGCTTTCACCTTCTTGGGTCATTTAATTTTATGGCAGGGCTATTTTTGGGCAGGAACGCACAGGAACGGAGTTCCAGCTGGCTTCCAAGTTGGCCACACCCAGCATGAACACATTAGCATAATAGGCCACACCCAACAGCAGAAACTCATTAGGATTGGCTACATTAGGGGTGTGTGGCCTAACATGCAAAGGAGTTCCTGCTACAAAAAAAGCTCTGGGTTTGGACAACAAACAAGGTAAACAGAATAAGAAGCAAAAGGTGGGTGTGGCTGGATGAGCACACTTCTGGTAACATGGGGGTGTGGCCTAATATGCCAATGAGCTGTGCTGTCAGGGGTGTGGCCTAATATGATAATGAGTTTCTGCTGTTGGGTGTGGCCTATTGTGCTAATGAGTTCCTGCTGGGCTTTTTCTACAAAAAAGCCCCGTTTTATAGTATCCTCTGCATTGCATGCCGCTTTCACTTTCTTTGATCATCGGGTTTTATGGTACCTTCTGCATAGATTTATGGCTGTTCGGGGGTGACTTTGCAGTCAGCATGGCGTTGCCCCCAGGGTATTTGAATGTGGTTTCGAGCTGCACCTTTTCCTCAATGTTGAGAAAAGGTGGAGCAAATCCTGGAAGCAGAATCGCCCAATGGTCGAATCTTCATTTGTCTTTCCCACCGGTGTCCCAGCCTTCTGACTCTGTCTTCAAAAAAAGCTGCCTACATTTGGTGTCGTTTTCACACCTCAACAGTGCTAGCCTACTTTTGCACGTCCACACATGTTTATCACCTTCTCGTGGCTGCGCCGCCGTCATTGCGCCTTCCCACTGCTGTAAAAGAATCTTCTCCAAACAACGTTCAAACAAGCATAGAGAAAGACGGCGTCACAGCAGCACGAAAAACTGATTTAAAGATGCAAATGCAGATTCGACCAGTGTCACAATGCTGCTTTGAAATCCACAAAACCTGCTGCAGGCAAGGCAGAGGAAAGCTTCCCCATGGGTGCATTTGAACTGCGTCTGCACAATCCACACGCAGTGCTTTGCCTCAGACAGACGAGAGCATCTTTCCCCTTGTAACTGTGAGCTTGGCCGGTAATTATCCGTACTTTTGATTTTGTGTGCTCCTTTGCCTAATAAAACTGGATTGTACCTTCACTTCTAATGGTCTGGGTTTCACGTCATAAAATCCCGAAGCAAATATTCGCCTGCCCTCGCAATAAGGGCCCCTGCCACACGGCAGGGAAAAGCCTCTAAAAGTGCGGCTTTTAAAAGCCTCGCCAAAGTTGAGATGCCGCGGCGGGATCTCACGGATCCACTGGCGGCAGCGCCTTTTCTCCCCGGCACGATCTGACGCCAGGGAGAAAACACGGCCCTGACAGGGAGCCTGCCAAACTGCGCATGTCGGAGCATGCGCAGTTCGGCTAGGAGCCGGGGATGCGCCGGCGCAAAGACGCGCCGTCAATCCGACGGCCCGGCTTGCGGCGCGTGATCCGGATGAACCACCTTGGTAGGTGGTTCACTTTTGACGCGCCGCATCGGGGGAAGGGCCGGATCGGAGATGGGAGCGCAACGCCAGCCAGATGTTGGTGTGGGATCACGCCCGTTTGCTCCATCTCCGATCTGGCCCACTCCCGGCCCAAAACGCCTCGTGTGAACGGGGCCAAGGTTTATTCACTTTCCAGGCAGGGAAGGAATACCCTTGTTCGCCTGGTTAGGGCAGGTTTTTGTTGTGAAAAAAGTGTGTGGCTGCACGTGTTTGTGAATGCGTCTACCCGTGCCACCCACACTCCC